CATAATAAAAGTATAATGTAACAGTTACTTATTACTTACCATACATAACAAGTATAATAATTCTTCTTCTTCTTCTTCCAATGGCGCTACAGCCCAAATTGAGCCTTGGCCTCCTGTAACTTTTGCCTCCAACAAAGGCGATCCCGCGCCACTCGTCTCCAAGCCCTGACGTTCAGTAAGTTGTGCGCATCTGCTGTGACTTCGTTCTCCCATCTATTACGTGGTCTTCCCTTTGGTCTTCTGCCCTGCATTTTACCATCCAAGGCCTTTCTCGGCAATCTGTCGGCATCCATCCGTACCACATGACCAGCCCATCGAAGCCTTTGTACTCTAGCGAACTCTGCAATAGGTGCTTCTTTGAACAGTTGGTAGAGTTCATGGTTATATCTAGATCTCCACATCCCATTTTGAGTGATGGGTCCAAAGATCTTCCTTAGGATTTTTCTCTCGAAAACCTCTAATCTTCGTTTAGTGCTTTCTGTCAAAACCCCATTGTCTCGCATCCATAGCATACTATCGGTCTGATGATAGTTTTATAGACCTTAAGTTTCGATTTTCGATGTACCGTCTTGGAGCGGAATATGTTAATCAGGGAAAAATAGGCTTTATTTCCCTTCATTATTCTCTTCTGAATTTCGGCCTCTTCTGTTCCCTCCGTATTCATTTCGACTCCCAGATAAGTAAAACTCTTCACTGTTTCAATGTCATCCTCTACTTTGATTTGATTTCTTGTTCGCTTTGTCCGCGTCTGTGTTAGTATTTTTGTCTTCTGTGTATTTATTTCAAGTCCAATCTCCTTGGCCGTTTTTTTCAGCTGCGAATATGTTTCTGCTGCATCATCCACTCTGCGGGACATGAGGTTAATGTCATCCACATATGCGGCGAGCTGGACAGATTTGTTTGTTAGGAGATTGGCTCTTCCGACATTCAGCTTTCTGATGACATATTCAAGGGCCAGATTGAACAGTGTTGGAGCTAGTCCATCACCTTGTTTCAGCCCTTGAACTATTTCGAAGCTGTCAGTTAATTCGTACTGTATGCGTACAGTTGCTATTGTGGAGTCCATCGTTGCTTTTACTAGTCGGATATATTTCGATGGAATATTGAAGCTTTCCATGATGTTATATAACCGGCTTCTATTTATGGAGTCATAAGCCTGTTTGAAGTCGACAAATATATTGTGAACATCAATATCGTAATAAGCATAATAAAAGTATAATGTAACAGTTACTTATTACTTACTTACATAACAAGTATAATAATAGAAGATATTAAATAAGAAAATTCTAACTAATGGGAGGTATGAAACTGTTTTTATTTTTCATCAATTGGTTGATATCAGGTTTGATAGAGGACATTTGAAGATTCATATCAGGTTCGGCGTCCAGTCTATTGCGGTATTTTGTTTTCGTGGCGGCATATGCTGAGAATCCTGTTTCGCACAAATATGTTGTTAGGAACGGAAGAATTTTCAGAGTCATTTTGACAAGCATTGGATATTTATCACGGATTCTGCACCAAAAATCGTTAAGAGGAGTCGTTTTAAACAGTGACTTCATACATGTGTCTGATGACGTTTCTAAAAGAGATTCGTATATCTCGTTTGACATACTTTCGGGCTTTTGTAAGTTGGGTAAAAAAGGATTATGAATCCATGAATTCAGTGTGATTTTTGTGTTCTGTTCTTCGGGAAAATACTTCTCAAAAGATGCACGCATCGAAGTGAGATATTTGACCAATTCTTCAAATACATCATCTTGGAACATTTCGTCGTTATCGCTAATAAACTTAATGAGTCACGTAAAGATTGATTTCTCTCTTTCCGACGTAAATAATCCAAAAATCTAATTGTATTTTGAAGGCAGTTATTTTGTTACAGACCTGAAACACTGTTGTCCGTTTACCTTGCAATGATAAATTTAAATCGATCAGTTTTTGAAAGATATCCGACATAAAAGACAGTCGAAACAACCAAGTTTTATCGGTTGAGTTTACCGAAAGTACAAGCTGAATATAGCCGCAAATGTCAAAAATATTTGGGTTTGGCAGTGTTGGCATGTTTTTATAATGCATATGTTGTATGCTTTAACTATAAAGGGATAAACCTTTAAAAAGTACATTTTGATTATACTATTTTATGAATTCTGAAATTTTTAATTTATATGAAGAAATAACGAGTAGATATTTGTCTCTTTCGAGATAAATTGCAAACATCTTTTGTAATCTGGCAACTGCTGATTTGACGATTGCCAAATATATCCCGTAATCTATCTAAGGTTAATTGCTAAAAAAATTTCTAATAATTAACTGCAATTAATCTCCAAAGAAACAAATGTTTACTCATTGTTGTTTTAGATAAATTAAAAATTGCAGAATTCATAACTAATATAAACAAAATGTACTTTTCTAAAGCTTTATCTTTGTATATTTGAAGTGTATAGCACCTTTGTTATAAAAACATGCCAACACTACTATACCTAAATTTTTTGTTCCATGTTTGACATTTGCGGCTATATTCAGCTTGTACTTTCGGTAAACTCAACCGTTTTTTCAAATTCAAAGAAGTATCTGAAAGAAACATTTGTAACTCGGCTCTAACTTAGAGCCTCTAAGTTAAAATAGCCTTGTTAAAGTTTTACCCAGAGACAGCCATCGCACTTCTGTATGAAGCAGCAGTGTTTTATGTTTGCTGCCATATCTTCACACAATAATGAGAACAATCGAGATTGTAGTGGTCGTGATTTGATAAAATTAATTATTTTTACCGCTTCATCCATAACTAATTTTAGATTTGACGGCATTTGCTTCATCGCAAGTGCTTGTCTATGCATGATACAATGGCTGGAACTACAATTACGAGCTTTATGTTTTATTCGTGACACTAGTCCTGCTGTATTAGCAGCGGTAAACTCATAAGCATGTCTTCTTAAAAAGAACTTTCATATGGATACCTCACGATAACCAGCAAGATAGATAGACCAGCGACATCAGTAGACTCATCTATTTGCAAGGTGAATCATGTTTTTTGTAGACGGGTAACCAGTTCTTGTTTGGCCTAGCTCGCCAGATCATGTATTCGCCGTGAAACAGTATCGTTCGATAGCGGCACAGTAGAAAGGTGCTTTGCAGATTTTTCATCGAGCATATATTTTGTTATGTCTAACACACATGGTTCTATTAAATTCTCAGAGATAGTGTACGCTTCACCTGCTTGTGCAATGCGATAACTAACTAAATATGATGCCTCTGCGGTCTTTTCATTGATAGTTTGAGTTACATGCATCATAGTTTTTTAGCTTTCCACTGTAACCACTTTCCACTTTAACTGATCTTTTTTACGTAGAAAAATTCCTTATTCTTACCTTTAGACTCGGGGTGTACAGTTTCTAAATGTCGGCGCAACTTGGCAGGTTACATGGAACTATTAGGAAACAGTTTACTACATAGGCTGCAGAGAGGTGAGCCGTTGGAATCAACAAATCCGAAACTATGTTAAAAATGAAAATGATTTCAATATGTTAAAAAAATATACAACTTAAATGGATTTTTATATGAGTTTGTTAATTTTGACTTACCTGGTATAGTGTTAATAATTTCTGAATAGTATAGTTGCCTAGTGTATGAGTGAATCGTCTAAACCTTAAAAAGATCAAAAAAGGAGAATTTTAAAAAAATATTTAAACATAGAAATTTTAATAAACGTCAGAAAATAAACTGCTTGACAGTTTATTTGACAGTCTGTGGGAGCTAAATTAATAGGGGTTTTGTTAAATAAGAAATTACAATGATGTGGAGATGAAAAGAATAAATTATATTAATAGACTAAGTTTTATATCTGAACATTTTTTTTTATAAATTCCCAAATTAGATGTGATTAAAGTGATTATGAGAAAGTAATGTGGCTTGACAAATATGTCAAACAGGACAGTTTTATGGTTTAATAAAATAGAAGACAAAAAAAAAGAACGTTGGTTGCTGTTAGCAACGGATAATAATGGGTTTTTTTTTGGGGACGCCGGGGAGGTTTTTTTGGACGAAGGGAGCCCTGAAACTGTGGAATAGGTCGGGAGTGTTTTTTAACTCGTCTAAATAGAATTTAGTTTTTCCACAGCAGAGATATCCAGAAATTTGTTCCAGAGAGTAAGAGAAACAATTTCACTTATAAATTATATTGGAGTATAGAAATGTCATTTAAATTGAGAAAATTAAAATTCATGAATTAACATAATTGCGATAGGCCTTAAAAATTGAAAATATTAATGATCATTAAATTAAAAATAGAATAGTACGTACCTTAACTTCCGAAGAGAGGATTGATATTCCAGTTTCACCGATTATTTTTGAGTAGTTAGTTTCCTTTAAAGAAATCAGAACTGTTTTAAAGTTCGGTTGGATAATAATTTTGGGGATCATTTGAATTTTTGATTATATTTGAATAGTCAGCGGAATAATAAGTGGTCAGTTTCTTTTTCTTTATAATTCATTTAAACACTTTATAAAGTTGCAATATTTATTTAGTATTTAGGTACTTGTAGAGAGTCTCCACATTTTGTAATAAATTTTTATTGTCACGACACTATATAACCACATTAAGATTTAAACGATTCCCATTTTTGAAAATTTTTAAAGGCAACCCAAGTTGCAGACGAATTTTATTGTTTATATTAAATTTTTTCAATATTAATAAATAACGTGCTTCATTTGGGTTAATTTATAAAAAGTCTAAAGTAAATTTTGGTCTAATTTCTTTTTGAACTCTACCAGGAGACTACAGAGTCGACGTCACACACTGACAGATTGCTTAGAATACATAATTGAGCTAGCTGAGGTATATATTAAATTAAACAACGAACCACATATTTTAAAAATTACATTTATTATAAAAAAAAATAAAATTAATAAAATACAACTTTTTCAATATATATATATATATATATATATATATATATATATATATATATATTATATATATATATATATATATATACGATTCATCATACTTCCTTTTTTTCGCCTTTGAAACTTGACGTCGTTGCATAATCGTCTTGATCGGTAATTGCTGTATTATCTGCGCGTACTGCTTTCGAACATTCGCCTTCTGTAGAAGATGTTGTTGCATCACGTTTACCTACTTTAAGCCAACGTTCCATTTTTCTTTGTTAAAAACAACAAAATAACTCACGACTGTTACTGCAGAACAGTTTAGTCCAAAGAAGAAATGTACAAAACTGATACAATTAGAATACAGCAATAGAATAAACACTTTTTCTATAGAATGTACAAAACTGATACAATCAGAATACAGCAGTAGAACAGTAAACACTTTGTTTCTATAAATATTTTTAAAGTAGGTAGGTACTTATCTATCGCTCCTTAATCGCCGACTGACTAAGTGTCAAAGTGTCAAGTGTAGAGGCGCGGTCGTCGAGGACTGCGCGCTCACAAGAGATATGGGCAGTGGCAGGCATAGTAAAATTGTACCAGGCAACTAAGTTTGACTGCGCCTCGTGAATCGTGCTACGCCGTATCAGAACAGTCGACCAGGGAGACGTGTTTTGAATTTTTTTGTTAATTCTCGCTAGATTTTATATATTTAAATCAACCTAATTAATTATTCCAAAACAAATTAAATAATAAAAATAAAGTAACTATATTAATATTAGTGCTGGCGATTGTGTCAAAAATGTGTTGCGAAGCTAATTTTTTGGAATCCACAAATCAAAGGTAACATCTTATACTAATATTAATAGTTAAACCACAATGTCGAACGGATATAATCAATATCCATTTCCATACTCTCAATGTTCAACATCTAGCCAGATGAACCTCAGCGACCAAAACTTAACAGTTCAACAACTAGGATATTTTCCACAACAAATGCAAACGGGACCACATCCCGCATCACAAATCCAGCAAAATTTCGCTCCAAGCCAGCTAAACCAGCCAATGCAGTTATATCAACCTCAATACCAGTATTCAGTCCAAAGTACATTACCACAATATCAACCCCCAAGCACATCGAAAGCAAATGATGAAGAATGGCAAATAGTACCAAATAAAAAACGTGGGAGAACCAGTCCGGAACAACACCCCAAACTTAAACAAACCAAGATAGATAACTACTGGCTCAACACACCAACAGCAAATAAATTTAATGTATTAATCAATGAAGAGACACACGAAGCAGATACTGAAGAGGAAAAACAAAAACAGGAAGAGAAGCCCCCACCAATATTTATTGCCGGTGTTAAATACATCCAACCATTAAACGAACTATTAAACACTATAGCCAAAGACAAACATTTAATCAGAGTGTTGAATGAAGAACAAGTCAAGGTACAGGCCCAAACAATTGAAATATACGACAGTATAATAAAAGCACTTGATGAGAAAAAAACCGAATATCATACATATCGTAAGAAGCAAGATAAACCCTTTAGAGTAGTGATTCGTCATCTTCATCCCACAGTGGATATAAACGAAATCAAAAAAGAACTAGAGAGCCAAGGACATATCGTTCTACAAATAACGAATATACTTCAAAGAACTACAAAAAAACCCCTACCGCTATTTTTTGTGGACTTGAAAATGCAAGAAAATAATAAAGAAATTTATCAGATAGAATATTTACTCAACGCAAAAATTGATGTCGAAGCCCCAAGACTAAATAGAGAATTAGTACAATGTACCAGATGTCAAAGATATGGTCACACAAAAAATTTCTGCTATCATCAATACAGGTGTGTAAAATGTGCTCTAAATCACAAAACAGCTGACTGCCCTAAGAAAATTCGATCTGATCTTGTAAAGTGTGTACTTTGCGGTAAAAACCATCCAGCGAATTATAGAGGATGCAGTGTACATAAACAACTGCAAGAAGCAAGATTTCCAACCTTAAGAAAGAAAGAGTCACAGAATCAACTACAAAACCAACAGCTACCAGTGGCTACAACAAATATAAGTACAACACAAAGACCTACATATGCTCAAATGATAAATACCAACCAACAAGATACTACAATGGTCACTCAGGCAAATGACATGCAGGAGTTAAAGAATATGATGAAAGGGCTTATGGAACAAATGAGCACCATGCTAAACTTACTAACAACACTTGTCTCAAAAATGAACTAATGGCTAATACACTAAAATTTACCATATGGAATGCTAATGGCTTGACACAACACAAACACGAGTTGTATGCATTTATAGTTAATCATCAATTAGACATAATACTGATTTCAGAAACACACTTCACGAAAAAAAGTTTCATAAAATTTCACAACTACAAAGTATATCACACAACACATCCAGATGGAACTGCACATGGTGGGACAGCAATCATTATAAGAAACAACATCAAACATTACCAGACAACTCACTATCAAAAAGCACATATTCAGGCCACAAATGTAGTTGTAGAAGACTGGACAGGACCTATAACTTTTTCAGCTGTATATTGTCCACCAAAACATTCAATTAAACAACCAGAATTTAAAACCTTTTTTGATACACTTGGACCTAGGTTTATTTGTGGCGGAGACTACAATTCAAAGCATTTAATGTGGGGCTCTAGACTTATTAATACCAAAGGCCGGGAACTACAAAAAGAAATACACATGGATAATCTAAACATAGTAACCACAAGGGAACCAACATACTGGCCTACAGACCCTGCAAAAATTCCAGATCTTCTCGACTTTGCTATAGTGAGAGGAATAAATGAAAAATACTTTAAACCAAAGTCCTGTTACGATTTATCCTCTGACCATTCACCTGTTATCATAACTGTAAGCAAAAACATAACAAAAATAGAAAGGAGCTGTATACTACACAACAACAAAACAAATTGGAGTTATTTTCGATATCAAGTAGACAATCAAATCAATTTAGACATCCCACTAAAGACAGATAAACAAATCGAACACGCAGTAGAACATTTTAACACAGTTTTACAGGAAGCAGCATGGAACTCCACACCATTACCTACACATCGACATATGAACAAAAACTGTTCCAATACAATACATGGAAAAATAATTGAGAAAAGAAGACTCAGAAAACAATGGCAATTAACAAGATCACCTCAAAGTAAAACAAACCTTAATAAAGCACAAAAAGACCTAAAAAAATTGATAATGGCAGAAAAAAATGCAAGTTTTCAAGAATACCTACAAAAACTAGATGCAACTCAAGCCACTGACTACTCGTTATGGAAGGCTACAAGGACTCTACGAAGGCAGAACTATACAGTCCCACCAGTAAGAACACAAACAGGACAATGGGCGAGAAGTCCACTAGAAAAAGCCGAAACATTTGCGACACACCTTAAAAAAGTCTTTACACCAAATGAGGGAAATTACTCACTACAAACTGAAGAAGAAATTATTTCGATACTCACAAAACCTTATCAACTAGAACTTCCCGAAAAAAGATTCACAAAAAATGAGGTAAAAAATATTATACAACACAACATCGATCCAAAAAAGGCTCCAGGATACGACCTGATTACGGGAAAAACTCTTCAGCAACTCCCAGAGAAAGGCTTCCAATTTCTGACACAGTTATTCAACTCTATAATGAGATTAGGCCACTTCCCATCACAATGGAAACTAGCACAAATAACAATGATACTAAAACCAGGAAAAGAACCAGAAAGTGTACAGTCCTACCGTCCTATTAGTCTTCTTCCAGTGGTATCCAAAGTTTTTGAAAAGCTGACACTTACTAAGCTAATGCCTATACTAGAAAACAAAAAACTAATACCACCACACCAATTTGGGTTTATAAAACAGCATTCAACGATACAACAGGTACACAGAATTGTAGAGAGAATCAACGAGGACTTTGAAAATAATAGGTACTGCTCGGCGGTATTTCTGGACGTAAGTCAGGCATTTGATAAAGTCTGGCATAAAGGCTTATTATGTAAACTAAAACAAAATTTACCTACAAATTACTATATACTCTTAAAGTCCTATATCACCAACAGAAACTTCCAGGTAAAGTATGAGAATGAATACACAAACATACAACAAATTCTCGCTGGGGTGCCCCAAGGAAGTGTACTAGGACCTATATTATACCTTATATTTACTGCTGACCTACCGACAGAAACACACATAACTACAGCTACATTTGCGGATGATACGGCAATAATATCGTCGAACAAAAATCCCAAAATAGCCTCAGAAATCTTACAAAATAATCTAAATCAAATCCAACAATGGATGACAAAATGGAGAGTCAAAATTAATGAAAACAAATCGCTACACCTAACATTTACCACGCGTAGGGAAACATGTCCGGCTGTTTACTTAAACGGTACAGGAATTCCACAAGGGGATGAAGTCAAATATCTAGGTATGTACTTGGACAGAAGATTAAACTGGAGGAAGCATATATTTACTAAGCGAAAACAACTGGGTCATAAGTTAAGAACCATATATTGGCTGTTGGGCAAAAAATCAAAACTATCAACCGAAAATAAAATATTAATCTACAAATCCATCCTAAAACCAGTGTGGACTTATGGGATAGAATTATGGGGAACCGCCGCACATTCCAACATTGAAATAATACAAAGATTCCAGTCCAAAACATTGAGATCAATACTAGGAGTTCCATGGTTCATAACCAATGAAGCCATTCATCGGGATGCCGGACTATCATATGTCAAAGATGACATCAAAAAGTGCGCGAAAAAACATAAAGAGAAACTTAAAGTGCACCCAAACGTGTTAGCAAAAAGTTTAGTGAATAAACCGCGTACTGTTCGTAGGCTAAAACGAAAAGTTCCGTTAGAGTTAAGTGAACAATAGGTTCTAAATTAATGTGTACAAGTCTATGTCAGAAATAGTCAGTGTTGTAGGCTAAGTTTTTAAAAAAAGGGGTGCATCACTGGATGCCTCCCTACATGTCATTCCAAATTATTGTCAGTCCTATTACTTATTGTCTATTATCTACCTAAATATTTAGGTTTAGATTGTACAGATAGATTGTAATAAATGTGGGGTTAATAAAAAAAAAAAAAATTCTCGCTGAACCCGTACAAGGGAACACACTTTAAGTATCGCGGTAATAGAAAAACATTTCTGTGTCTGAGTGACTTAAAGAAAGCGTTTGACAACGTAAGACTCAAAAATGTAAT